TCTCTAATGCTCAAAAAGGGCCCTCAGAAAAAGAGACTTCCATGGACAGTGAAGAAACCCCGCAGCAGAAAAACAGTTAACAACATCACTTCATGATTTTTCATGAATCCACTTAAGGAACAGTGATAAGAAATACTCAAAATGTACCACCAAATTTTATCTCTGGCCTTTATTAATGTGTAATCAATGAGTTTAGTCTTGGCATATTCCACACTGTCACTAGGCAATTTGAACTGTCAGAAAAATCTGAGTATCCAAAGAACTACACAATCTCTTCAGTGACAGAAGGCAAGATATTGATCAATAGTAAGGTAGACTGTCAGTATCAGAAGCTCATTCCTGAGAAACTGTCCTGCAAGCCAAGCAGCTATCACTTTAACATGACTGTAAGTGAAAGCAGGAAAGAGGGGTATTAGATACATTTTGGGTTTCAAGAGAAATACAGGTGGCTTCTTCCAAACGAAGGAACAATATTTTAAATGAGAGTAAAATAGGTATCCACATTCACATCTGATCATCTGATTAAACACTGATTAGCAATGAATAAAACCAGATATTTTTCTTTGACATAACAATGGATAAATTCAACCAGCTTAATGAGTGGAAGTGAATATGAAACTTTAGGGCTCTGCAAATAAGAACTAGGGGTGGCACAAAGCTGTGGACATCAAGAGGGTAATTTATTTAGGTCTGTATTAAGTGGCTTCAAGAGGTCAAGTGCACATTTCTCTCCATTATCTGTCAGTGCAGTCCAGGATGATGAGCTCAGATTTACAGGTCTACCTTTGGGATGCCTAAAGTAAAGTGAGAAGCATCCCATCTCACATATTCACCAATAGCCTACTTCAAGGAAAGAGAAAGAATGAACAACCTGACAGCATTATTCACATTCTCAAGCAACTCTTTCTTCCTGTGACACTACCTTTGTTCAATCAAAGCTCAGAGGAAATACATAGTTCCATTTGTCTTCTCTTGTCTATCTCAGTCTATTATCAACACATCCAGCTCATTTAATACAATCAACATTATTTCAAATTGTTCTGAAATCTCACAAAAAAAGCATTCTAAAAAGATAAAGGATCATCAATGAGATGGAAAGACAGAGCACTAAGGTTTTGTTCCAGCTCAAGAATTTTGGGCATATATTTCCCTAAGTGATGTTACCGTCAAAGCTACAGCACTTGAGATCCTCAGGGCGCACATATGCACTACAGCTGAGAACAAAATAATGCTTAAAAATTTTGAAAAAACAAACAAGTTTGTGAGAATTAAAACACAGTGGGCAAGCTGTAGCTTTCTTTTATTGTTATTATTCAGTTCAATTCTGCTTGATTGATTTTATGGAACCAAAATACACCAAGAAGAAAGAAGGAATATATTTACATAGAAAATGGGCAAAAGTTTAGGAAGTTAAATTTATAGAGCTTAAAATATTCCTTGAAGTTATCAATTTATTTATACTTATTTTTGAGAAATCATTATACTGGACAATAAAAGGATAAACATTTTGGAGCAATAAAATCAAACACTTCTTCTGAAAAAAAAAAAAAAAAAGTGCTCAAAATAAATGATATTTTTCAGCTTTCTCCAAATCTCAATGTTTTCCTAAAGATAAGACATGTACATGTTTCAGAAACAAAATCAGTTTGCATTAATAGTATATAGAAATACCACATTAGGACTTATCATGCTAGGACACTGGAAAATTAGAGTTGAACCTTTCTGCTTTGGAGAGGACATTATCAAGTTCAACAGCACACTAGGGGGTACTTCAGAAATCTCTAAGTACAGGGCATTTTAAAGAAATACAGTATTTAATACAGTAAAAAAGCTGCTTGCATTGGAAATTGTTTTAAAAGGGACATGCACAGATTTAAGAAGTTATGTTTTCATTTATACATTATTTTATCATAGAAAATAATATCTAGGGATTAATATAAAAGTATACGTTCCAGAGCTCTCTCCTCACTGAAAATGTCTATGTTTATAGAGGTAGACAAGAAGATAATATATCTGTACCACCAGGGACTACATCAGAGGACAGAATTAGCCTTAAAAACAGCAGTCTTCTCCAAAGTCAGGTCTAAACTACCAATTACTACCTCTGTGCTTGGTCAATAAGGTTACTCACTTTTTCACATGTTGCAGTCAAAGACAATTGTCTGTGTTTAATCTCCCTATCACATAACATTATATGGAGAGGGAGAAACACAGTCTGTGCATCAGACATTAGATTGAATCAGTGCTGCATCCACGAGGCAGGTAACATCCAAAGCATGGCTCTGCTCTGATAAAAAGCGAAGCAACTTTCTGCAGAGTGCCTTGCAGCCAAGAGTAAAAGCTAGGCTGCTCTTAGGCTAATGATGGCCTTCTGAACATGGACTTTTTGAGAAAACTGAGAGCATCAGTGTCATCTAGATAGTCCTCAGAGCTTGTTTTGGAACACTGCTGAGCATCTGAAACAGCAAGTCCACTGCATTGTACTGTAGCGCAGTGTGCAAGTCCCCACCACTTGCCCCCACAAGAACTTCCACACATGCTTTCATATTCCCAGAGGTGCTCAGCTATGTAGGCCTGTCCCAAAACACTCCTAACTCTCTCAGTGCCTCACTAGTCCTGCTCATGATAAGGCAAGGAGTAGGTCTGTCCCTGGTCTTTATTTGTCTCAGAGAGGGGAAATGAGAACAAAAAATACCAAAGTCTTCTTACAAAGCTAGACCAGACAGCCAGCTAGCCAGTAAGAGTATTTTAAGCATGACTATAATCAATTGTGGATTTTTTTTTTCTTTAAAAAAGTGATAGATGAATGAAGTAAGAAAAGATTAACAGTAAAGCCTACATGCCAAGTTTGGCCAGGTCTAACTTATTGCTACCCTTTGAATACTGCCTATAGATTTACTAATTGCAAACATGCACATCTCTACATCTCTATTTCAGCCAATTCTGTCACAGCAAGACTGGCTTGTGAGTTGTATATTCAAAGTAGCATTAGTGACATGAGTCTGTCAAAAAATTTCAAAGAAGCAGGAATCTATATGTGTATCCCTGTTAAAAGAGCATTACCACTTAAGTACAGATACATATGAGTATACAGTGCAAATATTTAGCACAACTGATATTTTTTCCATTGTGCATGATTAGCAAATGCAGTAGATGACCACTGCAGCTCAACATTAAAAACAAAATGTCAAGATTTTACAACACGAAATCTTGTGAACAAACTCACAGTGTTCTCACAAAACTACTTGTAGAAAAAACACCTTGATCCAATATTATCATCAACATGCTTTGGAAAGCAGGTTGGGAATGAGCTTCTTGTCTATGTCTGGGTGTTTTTTAGGTAGGAAAATTTGGCCAGATTATGCAGGTTGCAACATTAATCAAGACCTTGTCTTTATGTTTCATGAAGATGACATTCTAGAGCATTGGCTCAGGATGAAGAAAAACCACAACCTACAAGAATCAGCTTCAGAAACAGGCTTTTTTCAGTGCTTAGATTTTCAGTAAAGTAAAATCATGCATTCAGTTCATGGAAAAAGAGAAAAGCCACACACTGATTCCGTACAACCATAAATTACTTCAGCTTTATTTAGACAAAAACCAGCTCAGAGGTGTCAAAAAGTCAAAAATTAAAAAATAAAAAACAAATGAAAAAAACTGGAAGAGACTGTTACATTGCTAAGCACACATCAGTTTTTGCAGTAGTTTACGTATTTTGGAACATTCTGTAGTATTCTTCTGGCCAAGGAGTACATGGGTCACAGTCCACTGAAAACTGAAATGGCAACCTACTTCTAATCATGTAGCATTCATGAAGAAGCTAGAAGACAAGAATGAAGAGCAGTGCAAGAACAAAAAGGGTGCTCATCTTCTCCCTGCGATGCCTTCTTCTCTGCTACATTGTCGGACTGTTAAATAAAGGCTAATACTAGGTTATGTGATGTATATGGGCTAGACTGACTGCAAGAATGGAGTGATAGGGCACACAGCTATTCTTTACTGCAAAGAAGCTGGAACAACACAGCCATAATTTGTGTGACATTGTGCCTGAATCTCAAAAATCTCTGATGACCATTTCTACTGAAATGTACCTCCATCCTGCCAATTCTTCCAAGCTATAAATACATTGGGTAAACATAAAATCCAGTCATATCAGGAATTCTTCTCACACAGACTTTGACAACACAGCGTTTCATTGATGCAATATTCCCAGGAATCTCTAAAATCTCAAAGTTTGAAAAGTTGCTCTACTTTTCTCTCATTTTTCACTTTGACTACCAATGTACTGAACATTTTGAGTTCAAAACGGGGATGATCCAATTGTCTCAGTTCATAAAGAAAGCATTAACCAGCACTGAGTGCGTTAATTTACGTAACTCTAGTCATACTAAAACACAAAAAAGCTGTATAAATTCCAGAAACAATCAACAAAACTCAAACTTTCCATTCCAAGTGAAAAACATTATACAGAAAAATAGTCTCTTTTAACAGATTACAAGAAAAGAAAGATATTGGAAAAATGATATAACACCATAAGTCAGAGCAAAAAAAAAAAACCTCCTGGAGCTTGAAGGTGCTTTCCAACACAAATAAAATACAGCAAAAGGGTCACTTATAAGAAGAAAAAAAAAGAACAAGGAGAAGGAGGGAGGGAGTTTTAGGGAGAAAAAGAAGAAAAAAAAGAATTCATTCCTTGTACATCTGAGAAAGTGGAAGGTGATTATTTACTTCCAAAGTGTTAAATTGAACTAGGTGCAAAATTGATCAGACCTCTCCAGACTGGAAAATACCCTACAGCAATTATTGATCAAGAATGTGCTAGAGACCACATTTATGCACTACATACACACACACACACACACAAAAAAAAAAAAAAAAAAAAGAACAAAAGTGCATTTAAGACATATTTAACTTCAAAACACACTCTACTGCTGAGTTAGTGATTGCATGAGTTGTTGCAGGAATGTGTATGAAGATAGATCATCTGCAAGCAAACATACCTGGCTAGATTGAATGCATCATCGATCAAGCCTGCTCGATCGCTGACAGAGATAACCTATGAGGAGCAACCAGAAAAATGGAACCATTTAGGGTGATAAAGTAATGAAAGTTCACATATCAAAGCAAATTTTAGGGTTGAGAAGAAGAGCTTACCTCATGGTTCCTTGTCAGCTGATTAATCAGCAGCCTCCAATTCCTAATATCATAATTAACTCTGAAGTAGCCAGTCTGGTTGATGTTCCCCAGCAACCAACTTGCCTCTTCCAAAGCAGGAATTCTGTGGTGTTCTGGAAAGAGAGAAGAACATGGGAATGGGACTTAGTTTTATCTTTAAAAATTCTAAAGATGTATTTGTTAAATTCTGTCCTTTTTTAAATACTCATAAGTTAGGAAGATTAACTTACTAAGCTAGTAAGATAAAACTAACAAAATCATTGGGGTTAATCATTTTTTTTTTTATCTGTACTCATATAGAGACAGTAGTTGAGGCTCCTACAGAGATCCCCACAAAAATCTGCAAGGGCTCCCTTTTCTGGCTACTAATATTTATCAAAGACATGCCCATTTAAATCTGGTACCTGATGCTAGCCATGCTACAATACTTTATACAGTTCTAGTCATTCAATGGATTTGCTACATAGAGAGATTAAACCTGTGATTCAAAACAAAAACAAAAACAAAAAAAAACCTTAATTCTTTCTGCATGTAGTCAATGACACTTTTGTTATTGGATTTTCCAGTTGTGTAGTTTCTAGCTAACTAATCACTGAGAGGCTCTCTTCTAGAACTATACCAATTAACCTTGCATTTATTAACCTGCTCTTCATCTTTCCCCTCTTTTTAAGTAATCACCTAGGGACTGAAAGCATATATCCCAGTACTTTTACAAGCAAGAATGTAGCCAGTCCATCACTATTTGCAGGACTAAGGATGCCCACAACAAAAATATGCTGGAATCACATCACATGCTTCTTTCACTACAGGACGAATCATCATGGGCTGAAGTATCAGACATTTATGTCTCTTGAATAATCTCTCAATTCAGTACATTAATCTGATACAACTGATTATGAAACAACTTGAAAAATTCAGCAACACCTTTTTTCTGCTATAATACAGAATCACACAGAATCACACACAGAATCACAAGGTTGGAAACGACCTGCAAGATCATCTAGTCCAACCACCCTCCCATTCCTATTAGTACCACTAATACCAAGTACTAGTACCAATAAAACTAGTATGCATGCTTCTGACAAAAGGAATGGTGTTCTCATGAATTTCAAAAGCAAGCAAAAACAAACAAACAAAACAAAAAGCCAAATTTGTTTCAAATGTAATTCCAAAAGGAAATTGTTTTGAATGCTTCAATTCTTTGAAAGTAACAAATGAAAAAAGACAAGCTTGCAATATGGTCTTAACAATTCAAATACACTATCTCATACCTAGACCTACTAAAGAAATGAAATTGTTTACAGCCTTTCTTGGAAGAAAAAAAAAAAAGTAATTTCTGAGGAAATAATAGATGATAAGAACTACAGATAAAAGTTATGGTTCTCTCTTGGCTAAATAACAGCATCGAAAAGAAACAGCTATGGTATAAAGGTGCAAAAAAAAATGCAGAAAGCAATAAGATCCAATTCTAACAACACCAAATAATCTGTTTATCTTTAAATTCATGGAGCAGTTTTTCACATATGAATTCAGAGTAAAGGCTGAGGGATTAAAAATGGAAGTCTTCTTCTCATCTAGGTAGTCCTAACATCATTAATATTTCTTCAAAATACCCTGCTTTGAAATATTATACCTAGAAAACTCAGTTGTTGCCTATTCGATTTAATTTGTTACTGTTCTTTTAGGGTTTGTCTAACTGATTTGCACTAGCTCAGTCTAATTATGCAAATGATTGAGAAAAAAAATAAACATTCTTTTATTTCGTTAAAATATTTACTTTATCCACTTAGATACCTTAGATAAAGTACCAACATAGTCTTTATATGATGAAATAAGAGTAGTTGAAAAAAACAAACAGAACTAAGTCATAGAATGGCTTGGGTTGGGTTAAATCTCATCTACTTTCAACCCTTATACCACCTCCCACTAGCCCAGGTTGCTTATAGACCAGCCTTGAAAAAGGCAAGCCCAGCGTTAGGTGGAGAGACATAGCTAGCTAAGACTAGCAGGTACAGAGTAACTAAACTGTAGGAGGATCTGTAAGAACTCATTATCGGGGTATGCCAAGCTCTAGCCTTCCAGGAGTAACAGGGCATCTAAACTGTACATATATAGCTCTCCAGCTCACAATTTACAACCTGTGCCCTGCAGACTCCTGGCTTCCAGCATACCCAGTGTATAAATACTAAGCTGCTACTGCCACAACCTGATTTGGGAGAGGATTTTAACATCAGGTGCCTTCTCTCCCACAGAGGTTTGTTAAACACTGGGCTGCAGCTCAGTTCTAAAAAAAAACAACTCTCTAAGACTGTTCAACTGAGGTTGTTCTTCTACTTAAGCACATTGAATACTGAACCTGAAATCATAATCACCAGCTGTTCACATCTAGCCTCACAAAAGACTCAAATCCTGGTTCCTGGTTTGATTGCATAAGATTCAATTATTTTATACAAAGAAAAATACATGTAGACAAATTAAAAAAAAAAAAAAAAAAAGTAACAATTTACACCACAGTGCTAAGAGCACTTCCTTATAGAGGATTTGGTTCATACAACTGCTATAAAACAGAGAGAGAAAAAGGAATTTGAATCTGGATCTACCCCTACCCTATTTATTATACCCAGAATGGTGCTGTGAATAAAGTCTATCACTGTTAAATCTCAGCTATGTCCTGAATTAAACTATTGGATTTCTTAAAAGCAACAGCAAAAATACCCACTTCTTTATCTTGGAGAGGCTGCTGAGGGAAACAAAAACTTTTAGAATATCCCTAGGTCTTCAGGGATGTACTGTCTTGTAGAGTCAAGAGGAAACTGCTTTTACATGGCAGAAATTCATCCTGTGCTAATGTGCTGCTTTCTGTCCATGTTTTTCTATTGCAAACTAGCCTTTAAATGCCATCGTAGCTGGAAAGAGCTACTTGTAACTGGATGATCCCAGCACTTCTCTGACACCTAAAAACCTATCAAAACAGCAATGGGCACACAGTAATCCATTCTGGGTAAAAAGAAAACCAAAAAACAATGAATAGAAATTTTCAAGATCAGATGAAACACATACTTGTATTTTTTCTCATTTCAGTATGTGCATTGTTGTGCACTCTGTAGTGAGGAAATCACTTTTACTTTAATACAGTACTGAACGATACTTGTCAGTCAAACAAGAAAACTTAAAAAAAAAACCTATCTTGTAAATAACAGCTGTGGAACTCCTCCAACACATAGAGCTTTAATGGAGAATGGTATCATTTCAAAGCCTGATGGCATTATTGTTATTTTGGTCAGTTTAAATCCAACCGTTACCACTTGCTATTATTTTTTGATAAGACCACTCAAGTGTTGACCTCCTCCTGAAATACGGAACAGAAATCATTCATGCCTTTCTAGTTCATGTAAGCAGGTGGTTATTTTAAGGGACTGCAGTAGGCATGCGGTTCTTATAGTTCTATATAATTTACTGGAATTTGATGTTTGAATCTGCCAATCCTCATGCCTTCTTATTAAAAAAAAATAAATCTTTCTTTTGGTTATTACGGCACAGAAAACTTCTATCCACCTGGGCAATTTCTCCATTTATCACAAACACATTTGTTTCCCATTTAAAGTATCACAGTTACGGAAAAGGTGGTCATTCAGCGTTAAACCCTAAATTAAACCATTCATGACTTCCTAAACAGTGACAAAGATTTCATTTGGGAAGAAATATATCTTTGATGGCTTTAGTTCACCTTTTAAAATTCAATCTGGAATATATATACAGTATATCAGTTTAAAGGGATTTGGTTTTAATCTTCTTCCTCAAAAAGTGTTTTCCCATTGCCATGTTTTGCGTGGATAATTCAGAAAACAGCACTGCTCTGAAACTTTCAGTTTTGCCTCATATATACATGAAATATTGAGATGGAAAGAGTTAATTTTTACAACATTTCTTTTTGAAGTTAAAAAAAGAAAATCAGTTAGGGTCTGATTCTCATTTTCTCTGCTCTGGAAGTGTGAGGCAATCCTCCAGCTGGTGCTAACTTCAAGTGGCTTGAAGTTCGAGTTCTCACAGCCCTCCAACAACTTCCACTCCACTAAAACAAGCAGGCGTGATGGAAGCCTGCTCCTCCAAACAGCAACACGAGGCAGCTCTGGGTGAAGGGCACCCTTCTGCAAGAAATTTCTCCCGTGCTGACAAGAGCGTGGGCTAAACACTACCACTTCAAGTGTTTAGACTCACAGTTGTTTTCTTTTAACTTTTCATTTTATACAACTCTTAGCACACTGGGAAATTGGCTTGGTAGAATCACTATTGATGGAACAGACTCCATTTTCTCGTAAAAATAACTACAGAAGAATAACACAATTTCATGCCAAGAACAGCAAGTGAAAATTTTCTGAGAAAATGTTCCATAAGGAATTTCATCACAATAACGTTGTTTTTTTTTGTTTTTGTTTTTGTTTTCTTTGTGTAAAGATACTGATATTAACTAAAATCTGCAAAACTTTTTGCAGAATTCATACAGAGATTCATAGAGAATTCAACTTTTCATACTCAGAAAAGGCAAACCAGAACAAAATATGCTTTCCATCTCACTTGCCATGTTGCCTTAGTTCCACATTGAAAAAAATAGTATAGTGAACTCTATAGTAACTTGATCATATCAGCAAATACAATCATGTTCTGTTTCACATAGTCTTACTGCAGACTACCCTACCATAATTTAACATTCCTACCTACTGGAACAGCTAACACCTAAGGTGATGTTACACAAGTGTAAGCAGCAGTTTCCTGTTAGGATCTTCCAGGTGAAAAGGAATAAAAGTAGGGACAAAGGGATTAATTTTTTCCTCATCTTGTCAAAATTGTGCCAGTACTCTAGGTAAGTTGATACTTGCTGATGGGAAGGTAATTGTCCTGCAGAAAATTCTTTCCTCCATCTCCTGGCAATCCTGCACAGATAATCAGAGGCGTCTGAATGACTAATTTTACCAGAGGCAGAGAGGTCCATCAGAGAACTGCCTCCCTCGGACATTACAAATGAGTCAAGGTACAGGAGGTGAGAATGGAAACTTCAGTCAGCAGCATCTCCCAAGTCTTATTTCCTAGCTGGAACCTGACTGCCAGAAACTCATACCTAGGAAACAGCAAGTATGCCTTAGTCCACAGCTTGGCTTTCTTAATTGAAATGGATACTAGCTAAGCCTCCTTACTTAAGACATGTCTATGCTTCTCTTGGATATGCAGAAATGTAATGGGTAGAACTGTTCTTGCACACTTAGTACTCTTTCAACAGAATGGCCTGAATCTTCCCTCAAGCCCTGCGATACATTTGTCTTGTGGAGACAAGATGAAAGCTGATTCTTGATTTTTTACCTTCTGTACATCATCACAGAGAATAGGAAAAAGGGCACATACTTAGAGGAAACAGAAACAGGTCCTGGATCTATGACAGAGCACAAGTTCATAACAATTATAATTTCCACTTTAAACTTCAGTGTCAAGGGACTGTTTTATTTCTCTTACAATACTGGATCTTGAACAAGGTCTGATAAATTTGATCTGAGTGTCTGTATTCAATTACACTCACTTGAAGAGCACTGTGATTGATTCCAATCTTCCAAATGCTCTCTGGAATGCTTTGTTCCACTTGAATGGCTATTCTTTGGCTGCTCTTTGGAATAATACAAAAACACTTACGCTCAATGTAACAGAAATTCTACAGGATTATTCCTTCCCAAACAAATCAGTCCTGATAACTGCCCTTTCCAGTCTCACAGTCTCCTCCAGATCCTCACGAAAGAAACATACAAGCTGCAGAAATCTCCAGGAGTGCAACAAAAGAATCTATAGCTTTCCCAGCATATAGTAGCATACACAATGAATCAGATACTGAGCAGATGTAGAGACATACTTACTTATCGTTTTAATGTTGAGAAATCCTTCAAGTGAACTAGACAACAACAAATATAAGCAAGAGAAGTACATCCTTGCTATACTCATCAGTTTACAGTCTCATTTTAATGAGATGTAGCAAGTAAGTGAGAAAGTAATGACAAAGAACATGGATAATGGCAACAGATCACAATGACATTGACCTGCTACACTGGAAACTGATGACTTAGAAAAGTTCCTCTTTAATTTCTATATAGCAGCCACACCAAAATGATTGCTCACACTGGCCATCACAAATTGTTTATTTCTTGAACGCACTCCAATAGGAGTAAGTAGATCTTAAAAGAGTGGGTAGAGGTTTTATTATCTTGTTCCTTCACAGCACTCTGCAAGCAAAAGGCAACTGTGCAGATAATAGTGATATACTGAACTTTCAAGGCAGGAGTGAAGGGAAGGAGGCATCAAGGAGGCACCAGGAGTATGATCTAATGAGATGAGTTGAGAAGATCAACCCTCTCTGAAGTCAATGGGAATCTTTCTATTAACTTCAAGCGAGTTCAGTTAAGTCCTAAAGGACAAGAATGGAGCAGGTCATTGAGGCAGACTGTGAAAGATCAAAGAGGTTTTTCAAGTATTCCAAAGGTGTTCACATTAAGAAATACAGCCAATGCAATATACTTCTGCAAAGCAGGACAGCACCTTATTACACTTTAACTAGACTATGTTTCCCAGTTAAGAAAAGCACCCTGGTCCCAGGCACATTTTGAGACCATTACATCAACATGCTACATTCTAATGGGCTGCAAATGATCAGGGCAGAGGAGCACATACTTGATACCACTAGAAAGTTGGTTTATTCAGATTTTTACTAATCTTACACCATTCATCTCTGCTTCTTCTTGTTGCTAAGCACTATGTGACTACTACCTTTTGGTGACTTATAAAAGAGAAAAAGGAAAAGCACAGACACACACAGGTTTGACACATTCCTCGTTCCAGTTAAATATCTGTTGGAGGGAAGGCTTTACAGCCTTTTAATTTTACAAGAAGGGGTAAGTTCACCCTTTATAATTCATAGGGGACATACGGCTATTTCTTTTCCCACCCTTACACTCATTTTACTTAAGTCTCCACATTTGTTTCCTCATCCACTCCAACACCAGTCCAAAACTGTCAGCTGATGTACTATGAACTACTAAGGAAATAAATATGTCATGAAATTTTTACAGTGGGATTCCTTTTTTCAGATGACAAAAAAAACACTGATATCCAGCCCTAGCTGTTCTCAGGACAGTAGCTATTATGATCATGTAAGAATTGAGAAGGGAGAGAATAAGGTGTAAGCTGAATGCAATTTCAAGGTCCCACATCTGGTTATTTAATAAGCATACAAAATATTTTGGCAGATCAATAAGGAAATGTTTTAGCGACAGTAAATATTTCTTAGGCCTGGTTCAGACCATGATTGGAGTTACAAAATGACAGAAAGGTAAATGTTTTGCATTTACTATGCCATACTTATCAGATACTTTGCTACAAGAATATTACATTTAACTTTCACAAATCAATAAATTGAATTGCATTCATCAATAATTTGATATGTATTGCTAAATACAAAATATTTAGCACTGAAGTACACAGTACTATATAAAAACTTTTCACTATACTGTCTAATTTCTGTGATAATATAAAACTTGCCTGCTGCTTATCCTTCATTCCTCCTCTCTCCCTTCCCAATACTTCCTTAGTAATTCATTTCAGGTAGCTGAAAGTGGGTGCAGAGCAACTAAACAATTATCTAGGATCAATTCCAAAGAAACAGTTGAGGAAAACACAAGTATGCTTTATGAGATTCCACTGGGAGGAAAGTTTAGCTTTACCTGATTTGTTAGACACCCATATAATTGCCTCTGATGAGATGTGGCTCGTATTTCCTACTGCAATTGTTAATGGAATCTGCCACAAGTAGCTGCAAGACAAAGGAGGGGGAATCTAAGAACAAAAATACTGAACTGATTCTTCTCACAGCAATCAGGGATCATGTCAAAGAAATCAAAACACAATTTCAGTAGCAGTGTAAAGATGTGGATTCTAACAAGTTATTTTGATTTTGAAATGCATTTGCTAATAGCAGTAAAACAATGAAAAAGTCATTCTTTTTTTTTTTAAAAGATATTTTACATTTTTCACACACTATCATTATATGAGACTTTTTTTGCAAGGCTTTCCTAATTTAACAAAAGAATTCACAGAAGAGGAAATAATGATATCCTATAGAATGAAGAAACCTTGTTACATTTGCTTAGAAAGAGAGAACTCCCAGATAAAACATCCTTGGATTTACAGGGACTTCAAAGTTTAAAAATAACATACATATTTAGCAACTTCTTAAATAGGTATGATGGGCTTTTATAGCTACTGGTTTACAAAAAAATGAACAAAATTGATTCTCTGCTTCTGTGCACTGTTTGTTATCACTGATGTGTTTACAACCTGGACAAAACATGCTAAATGTGGATTTGGAGATAAGCTGGTATAATCACAACCACAACTTCCATCCAGGGTATCAAATTTTTTCTCATTTGGAATAAATGTTATAATTTACCTAAGTTTTTTGTAACATATTTATCTCAACAAACAGAAATTGACTGTATGAAGCCAATCTTTTAAGGCAGATGGAAAAGAGGAACCCTTGCGTGTCTTCATCATTATCTCTACTCCCAAACTACTGTGAAAGAACAAACACCTCCCTTACAGGGCTGCTTTGTCATTTGGTGTACTGAAGGAAGACACTCAGTAATGGTTTGTGTGATCCCTGTATGCAGGGAGTACATCTCCATTAGCAAGGCAGCACAGCAAGAAAATTGCTCCAACTCAGATATCACTGTAGATTACTGCTTAGATACCAAGTAAGTACATCACTTTAGACTGACAATTAAAATGGTGCAAAGATGAATGGGGGCAAGTTCTTGATGTCTACATCAGCTTCCCTCTTGCCATTACTGCAGATGGCATACAGTACCTAAAAAATTAAGTTTGCCCACATCTGTTCCACTGAACTGTAAGCGCTGCCCAGCTGTGCCATAACTGGAGTCAGAGCATGCTGGTCTGCAAGGATTGTGCCTGAAAGAACACCTGTCATTCAGTACAGGAAATCACATGCAACACTGAACTTCTTCTGTGCAGATTCAAAGATAAACAGTAGACTTCTACAGCAATTGCTATTCTCTCCCAGATTTCATCAATACCACAATGATTATTCACTTCTGTTATTTCAAAGGCCATATCCAGCATGAACTTCCATAAATGGGTAACTGCACATTTCATGTGCACACTGTAAGAGCAGCCTTTTTCTGGGAGCTTTGGCTCCCAGATCTTGGGGTCATGTCCCAGCCTGACATCATCTCCAAGGACCTGCCCAGTGATCTGGACTCCAGGCTGTCTTGCTGCCACTCCATGCATGTCTTGCTGTCTTGCTGGGGTCTTGGCTCCCAGTCCGTTCACAAAGAGCCACCCCTCACTGTGCCCTGATTCTTGACTCCTCAAGCACAGAGTTTTGCAGCATGCAAAACTGGACTGTACATGTTGAGAAGCAGTTTTCAGTACAGCAGTGATTCAGCAGAGAGGGGGAGATATTTGGAAAACTGCACAGCTGAAAGAGATATCAGTGACAATGGAAAGAAAACATGGCATTTATTGCCATATGGGAGAAGAAAAAAGTCTCAAGTGATTCTGGATTATATGAATATAAGAATCATGACACACTGGGAAAACTAATAGATTGATTGATGCACCAAATAAATGCTTTATATGAGCACATGCTCTGGCAGATACTTTCTGGATAATTAAGCTATGGCATCTGAAGATGCTACTGCCCATCCATATCTTCTGCTGGAGATTACCAACCTTTATAGCACAGCCAGCAGAAAAGAATGTCCACTTCTGCATTCTCTTCTCCAATTCTCGGTCTAAAGTCTTTACACAAAATTAGCTTCATTGTTGACCTAACTACTATTTTGGACTCAGAACTGGGCTAATTAGGCAAAAAAATGTACTCTGTTCTGATGCTTCTATTACAGTAGTAATAAGTTCTGGGTTCAATAAGTGAAGGCAGTCAGAAGATGTTGTAAAATGATGCAATGGAGAATATGCACTTCTCTCTTAAGCAGCTTATACCTTACTAGACACCTATAGTATATTAAGACTCCATCTTTCCTAGAAGTATTTTAGGAAATATATCATATTTAAAAGCACACACAGTTCTCAACAGTTAGGTCTCCAGAATGGAAAAGACACTAGCAGACTATGATCAAGAAAAATGAGGCAAAAATGAGCACAAAGCCAATAACTCATGTGAAAGGAAACAACTTTGGTATATGAGAAATTTGAAAGAACTGCATTTGCACGGTATTTTTATGACTCTTGAGATAAAGACCTACTGAAAAATTGTATATTACCAAATAAAAGATACTGAGAATTGCCTACATTGCTGATTTAAACACATATAAACATATACAGATACATGCATATGAGTATATACACAGACACTCATAATTTTGAGAAGGAACATCATAAAAAGATATTTTTTGTACACTGCAATAAATATACAGAGAACTTTAGACTACTTTAGATTACTGTGTTACCTCCAATTAATGATACTCCCACAGCAATCTCTGAAAGGAGATTTTGCTATGGAACTGGAGTCATACAGGACACATCTTCTCAGAAAATGTGTGGGTTTAGTTGGCAAGATCAGGATTGGTAGATTTAACTTTTATATGCACCTCATCAAGATTTGGGTCTCCTAATATTCTTGACACTCCCCAGAACATCCAAATCTCATCTTCTTGGTTATTGATTTACCAGGGAACCACAGATTTCCTTCCAATGGATCTCTCCAGGAGCCCATTTTTTCCTCCTGTAATGCTGCTGTTCTCTACATGTTTACCTGCTTTTTCCTTCCACTCTCAGAGAAACTTCTACTACCACTGCAAAACAACACTTACAAACTATTTTATTTATATGTCACAGAGACGTATCTGGCTCACCTGTCATGTATTTTTATTAGCATAACTTCTATATGCCATCTCTGAATGATCCGTGTGGACTATGTTCTCCAAGTGTGACTTGGAAAAAGAAAACTTTCTTGCAGATTTACATTGGTATTCTTCTAATTTAAAGAGGGAAGAGGTCCATTCACCTCTTCTCTTGTTTTGACTGTGAGTAGTAAACATCTTTTGATTACTCTGTTACATTCCAAGAGCAACGCCATTGTCCTCTATGCATGTAGAAAGGCTGGTCTGAAAGCAATGCCTCCTATTTTATTACATTGGCCGAGAGGCAGATCTTAGTGGTATGGCAGCAGAGGGGCAGACTGACCAAATGGAGTTTGACATGGAAGTGTATATAAAGCAAAGGTGTGGAACTGAATTCCTCCATCAGGAAAAAAACTGCATTCGCTGACTTTCATTGATACTTCACAACACTTATGGAGGCCAAACATGGGATGCGAGGACAGTGAGGTGTGGGTGGTGTGTTTCAGCAGTGGCAACAGCAATGTGAAAGACAAGCCATGTTCTGGACAGCTATAAATATTTTTATGAGTGCAGCATGCAGATCATTGTTGGTGAAAATGCATTGCTAATGGTGGTGGTTATGTTTAAAAATAGTACTTTGTAGCTGAGAACATGCTCTATCAAATAGTTTTATTTTGCTCTTTGTATCTGTCATAGTTTTCAAGGAAATAAATAGGAGGCATTACTTTCAGAGTAAGTGACAAGGGGAAAAAATGATCAGTGTTCTTCATTTTGCTGTCTGCTGCCTGCTCTGACAAACCAATTCCAGTGAAAATAAGAATCCAATCTTGAAGTAGTGGGATTGGAAAAATCCATGAGGTCTTCCTATCCTCAAAAGTACATCTGCAAGAATTGGATGTCTGTCAAAGTAGCACACAGTGCCTGGGTGAAATGAAGTTAAGAAATGATGCATCCAAACTGCCTGAGACGCTGCAGGGCTTCAGAGACATCTGTATATAATGTCCCTCAGGATAAAAACTGGATTGCCTTAACAGGGAACTCAGTGCAGATTTCCCAAATTTTGAGGAGTTATGGGTTATTTCAGAAAATTAAGGAATTGCTTCTAAGGGTGAAGGAGGCATTTAAAATTTGAATAGATACTTTATATGAACTGTGTTGTACATAATACTGTTCAGTCATATAGGAAGAGATGGAGGAGAGGGGAATGCTGTTAAAAGGTAGTATAAAAATGGACACAGGATAACATTCACAATTAAAGAGAAAGCATCAGTAACTTTTGTATTTTTGGTAGCATCATATCAATACATCTAAGTGTGTTAGTATTTTGTTAGTATTTTCATTTAGCTTACACAATAATTCTGGGCAACTTGCTTCATTTAGCAATAAAAACTTGCAGATGCCAAGATGCACATAATACCAGAGGGTAAATAATTATGCACTGCTTGGATTACACAGATTTTTTTTCTTTAGCCTTACATTGTGTCTAGATAGCCTGTACTGAGGTATTCTGTCTTCTTCAAAAAATGATCATATCTGTGACAAGTTCCTGCTTATGCCTTGACTTTCAACTGAAAAGAACTGGGTAAATCTTTGTGGATAAACCTTGAGACCATGACAAGCATGTTTCAGACTCCTGCCTGTGATAACTGGCAAATCTGGATTTTCAGTGGAACATTTAGTTGGCTTATTTGTAAAGAGCTATGCAAAGCTTAAAAAGTGCAGTAGTTCACTTCATCAGCTGACAAAACAAAGATCCTAGGTCATTAAAGAAGAAAACAAAAAGTTCCTGGAGTTTCAGATTTTACACATCTCTTCAACTACTTTTCCACATTAACAAACAATCTTGCTGAGATGCAAGCACATATGCTTTCAAGAGACATCTTCCCAGTAGAACATCTCCACCCACTGCCTGTAATGAATGCTGCATTTTTCT